TTGCGCCGTCAAACGAGCGGCGTATTTTGAGTGCGAGTGGGGAATGAATATTGTTTGATAACGACCGGATGAGTCTGATGAATGCGGGCCGTTGACGACGCGGAAGCGTTGGGGGGGGGGCGTGGAACAAATTCTCAGACACCAAAACTCGAGTGGCAGAGGCTGCTGGAGGAGAGGTGGGCCGCCAATGTGGGATCTGATAACATCTAATTCAAAGGAACAGCTAATGTGCTTGGACACACTTTCTGATTAAGTGCTGTAATGCAGCGTGAACCTATAACCACATTGGGCAGCCAAACAGCGGCTGGGCCACAAACGCTGTAATTTGACCCCGCTCTCTCTCTCTCCCCCTCTGGTTTTTTTTTTCTTCAAGCGAGCAGAGTGTCTGTGGCTCTGTAGCGCGACGTTTGACGTCTCTGTGTGTGTACAGTGTAAGCACATGAAACAAAATTATCCCCTTTTAAGTGTCGTCGTTGATGTCATCATCATCAGCCATGCTCATTTCACTGCTGGATGAAAGGCCTCTCCCAATGCCGCGGCAACCAAAACCACCCACCCTCTCGCCATCCCGCGATGTGGCAATCGGACGCCTTCCCCTATTATTCCATGTTATAATAATTGTAACGAAGATACATTTTGTCTCAACAGCCAAAATAGCTCGCGCAACACAATGAAATTCCACCTCGTGGCATAGACACCGATGGACTGTGATTTTAAAAAAATCACAAAAAAGGACTTTTCATATTTAATATGCGCAAAATAATTGAGCTTAAGTTGAATTATAATTTGTATTAAGGCTGCGAATGCTCTCAAATCATAAGCGATACCGTAAGCATATGCCACAGCGAAGAAATCTCAAAAATGCACAGCAATTAAGGTAGTTGACGTTAATTGAATTAAATCAGGATCACATGCTGAGACAAAGATGCGTTTTTATTAGGACTGTAACTGATGACATAAATCAGTGTTATTCATATGCATATTACATTCAATTAGTTTATTTCAAGTCAAAAGGCTTTACTGGCATACACAGCGGAAACTGAGAAGGCACCAGCGTGGAGATGGAAATCAAACTGGCTGCACGTTTGTCGTCGTACCGGGCGCAGTGTCTCATTTCACACGCGGAGTGTGCTTGTGTTGCGTACCGTGTCGAACACACGTTACGCAACACGAGCACATGGCGATGGTGGAACACTGCTCGGGGGAGGTGGCCGGGTGGCACAAAGGGGGGGGGGGGGCGAAACGTCGTTTCGGAGCGCTGGAACCGGTCACCACGAGTTCACATCCCAGGCAGCTGGGCGACGCTAAACTTGGGTGTGCCAAATGCTGTCGGGCCCGGTCGCTAGCGACTACAGAAACATATCGCGGTCGTCTAAACCTTGATTTTTCGCTAAATCTGGCTTATATTCTGATTCTGAGATACAGATTTTATTTGATTGGCATACTACAACTAACAACAATTCGTCGTGTCAATTTATCGCGGATGAAGGAGATTTATTTAACTTCAAAAGTAGTTCTGTGCCATCGCCTTCAGGGACCATTCTCTTGTAGATTACGTTACACATGGTGATGCACTATTCGTTGCAGTCATTGTCATGTCCTTGTCAAGCCACTGAATTGTTCCATCAACAAGCTAGATTTTCACAAACTATCGTTACCTTAAAATTGACACCCAGTTTGTGTGATTGAGATCAATTTGATTCCCTTTGTGAGTGGGTCGCCTCTTTACAACGCTCGGGACACATTTGAATGCCCTGCAAATACCATCCCCAAGAGCTGGAATTTCGCTAAATTATGAAAAAGCAAAATGACCGTTACGTTTTTTTTATTCACTCATTGATGGCCGAGCTGAGGCCACAAAACTCGTGAAATTCGAGGGCCGGGTTTTGAACGGTGGTGGTTGAAACCCAAATTCAAACCCAGCATTTCAGTCGTATCGACTCACCACCGTTTTCTCAGAGCCCCACCTGGCTTTAACCACCGCTCTCCCGTGCCCAGCATTATGAGATGCTCAGTGGCAGCAGTTAATTACCCTCACATTGGACAAGTACAGTACTAAATGGGTGGGGGGGGTTAGCGAATTTTCTGGCAGGCTCAAAGCGTGACCAGGGTGGTATCCCCGCCTACTTTCACAGATTTGAAGCTTTCGTGACTGCAAGGATTCATATTCTTAGGTTTTTTCGGTAAAGTCACGTAGGTAAAAAATTTAAATTAAAAGTAAAATAAAAATAAAATAAAAATCACGACGTTTCGGAGGCAACACAAGCTTCCGTCTTCAGGTGGAACCGTAACAGCACGACTGCTGCAGTCGTGCTGTTACGGTTGTGACGGTTCCACCTGAAGACGGAAGCTTGTGTTGCCTCCGAAACGTCGTGATTTTTATTTTATTTTTATTTTACTTATATTAATTTTAAAAATTTTTACCTACGTGACTTTACCGAAAACACCTAAGAATATATTTTCACATAACCCCGCCTACTTTCACATAACCCCGCCTACTTTCACATGGCCTCGCCTACTTTCATAAAGCCCCGCCTACTTTCACACAGCCCCGCCTACTTTCACAAAGCCCCGCCTACTTCCTCACTGCCACGCCTACTTTCACACTGCCCCGCACGGTGAGTGGGACACGCCCCCTCCCCCTGGACCCCACCCCAACGCTGACCCCGCTCCTCCGCGTGAGTCATGCGGTGCGTGAGGCTAGAATGTTGAGCTGGGGACAAAAATCTTAAGATTTTCATAAAAGCTTTGGGGGCAGGGGAGGGGTGGGGAGGGCGGTGTTGGAGGAGGGGAGGACGACACCAAAACAGCCTCTTTGAAACCACTGGGGGGGGGGGGGGGGACTGCCCTGGCAAAAACCGGAACAATTTTCTCGCCCTTAATCTGTGTTGAAATTCACCAGCAGCCGCAGCTCGTGTGTGCAAGCAGGAGGGTGGTGAGCAGCAGCGACAGCGACAACAACAAAAATACCCATGTGAACTGCGTTGAGGAGGCAGGGATGTGAATGAAAGCCGAGTCACGGCCATAGGCGGCACTGTCAGGATTGAGTGAGCTGCCACGGGCTCCCCAGAGTGTCAGAACAGCGGAGCAGGACAGTGATAATTAATACGCATTTTAAATTATTACATGTAGATGCTGTATATTTTATTAGGACGACGACGGCGGCGAGATATTTTATTGAGTCAAAAAAAAATCTACAGCACATACGGGAGGTGATGGGAAGAATCCATTGCGTTCGCGGCGAAGGGCTTCGCTGGGCGAGTTCACTGTCAGAATTCGCAGAGGATGAAGGGGGTTTGGTTGGGGGAGGACGGTGCTTTGGGTGGTGTGTGGGGGGGGGGATGAGATGGAGGCGCAGCATTCAGAACGGGAAATTACAGAACGCAGGCCAGACCCCTCCGAGTGTTACTCCATCGGCGAGCGTAATTTTTCATCTGCCACTCATCATTTACGTGTTATCGCTATTAATGAATGAGCTCAGTGACTGTTCATTGCCGTATTTATGTGGAGAGGCCGAGAACCATGGTGATGGACACAACCACTCGAGCCGAGGCGTGGGTGTGTGTCTGGGGGGAGGATGAGGAGGAGGAGGGAGCATGCCCGCTGCTCGGACTGCTCCAGATCCTCTCCAGTGAGAGGGTCGTTACCGTCACACCGGTTTACACAAAAAAAATATCCATAAATCCTTAATTTATGCTCGCAGGCAGCCTGCCCTGTGTAATGCCTCCCAGCTGATGCTCTGTGCTCTGTGTGAGCGAGCGAGCGCTGAAGGACTGAATGCAGCTCTGTGCAGGATTTGAACAATGCATTTTAATGGCAAGGCCATCCTTAATGATGTAATTTAGCCATCTTGTCTTATGAATATAAACGTAATTCATGAAAGTCAGAAATGAATGGACACATTTAAACCCTATTATGTGAAATTAGTTCACGTCTACGGTGTTTGGGATACCCTATTTTTATTGGGGGGGGGGGGGGGGATCATGAGAAATGGCAGTGGCATTGGGAAATTAACCATTGCTGATATTTTTTTACGAGTGACCCAAGGTGCTGTGTGTGTGTGTGTGGCTGTGCATGGGTGTGCTTGTCAATAGGTGCATGTGAAACGCACGTGTGTGTGTGTATGGTATGGTTGCCTGGGTGCTTGCATATCTGTGCGTACACGTTGGTGTGCATCGTACGTGATCAATGCGCGCGGTACAGTACAAAAGTCGTTCCCGCATACATTACTGCGCTAAAAGTCTGCGGGTCATGCATGGCTGGAGAGGCAATCGTGGTTTGCCCCCTGCTGGAAATATAATGATGATGCGATCGTTGTGTGCACAGTGGTGAGTGCCAAACCAAACGGCTTCTCAAAAAAAGGCCACTGGCGCTTCCTTGCAATGAGCAGAGGGGTGCTGGGGCCGGGTGGCGGATGAACAGGCACAGCTGTGTAGTGCACCCTCTTACTCCCACCAAATTGTTTTTTTTTTTAATGGCTAGGGCTAATTGAGCAATTGCAAGCAAAACTATGGCACAACAAACCGGCTGGGGAAAATTGGCGGCAGAGGCACTTAATGCGAGTTTGGATATTTTCGCCTAATATCTTTTTGATAAGTATAATTAGCGCTTCATTTCAGCCGGGGTGTGATCAGGCCAGCGACACGGAAAATATCTCTCGCCACTCTGGCACACCGCATCGAGTATACCGCTCGCTATGGCTGTGGCTACTGGTCACGTGCCTACTCCAGTCTCCCAGGGACATGGGAAATAATCCGTGAGGAAGAATGCCCTGGGCAGAATAACAAAAAATCCGTTTAATTTGTTTCGTTAAGACACCACTCCGATGGCAACGCTTAGTGCCTCGTCATTGCATCGCTATTCAGGTGCTGCATGCCGCTGTGCTGTCTCTCTCCCCTCCCCTCCGTCCTGTCTCCGCTCCCTCCCTGCCGTGGTCGCCGCCACCGTCGCCGCCGCCCCTTCACCACCTATGACCCCCCTTGCCCCTGGACCCAAACGGTGGCGCGGGCCCGGCGCGGCGTGGAGAAGGATGTGATGGTCGTAGGGGAGCCCACCCTGATGGGCGGCGAGTTCGGGGACGAGGACGAGAGGCTGATCACGCGGCTCGAGAACACGCAGTACGACGCGGCCAACGGCTTGGACGACGACGACGACTTTGGCCACTCGCCGGCGCTCGGCAATAACAGCCCCTGGAACAGCAAGCCGCCCGCCGTGCCCGAGATCAAGAGCGAGAACCCCACGTCTCAGTCGTCGCAGTGAGGACTCGTTTTTAGTTTTTACCCGCGCGCCGCCCGACGCCACACCCGCACCTCACCGACCTCGATCGGCAGGCGACCGCCTGTCCGCGCACGTCAGCCGGCCGCTCCGCTCCGTTCCGCCCGTCCCACCATCGCCGCCGCCGCCATCGCCGCCGCCGTGGAGAGAGACGTTCACGGGCGGCGGACGAGCCGTGCCGACGCCGCCGACCGCCGACGCGACAGGCCGAAGCGGCCGGTGGTCCTGGCCTGCGCGAGCGCGAGGGGTCGCGCGCTCGCCCGTGGGATAAAAAAAAAACCCGACGCCGGCTCGCACTCGCAGACACGTCACGCGCCGTTGTTTTTGTTTTTGAAGTTGTGAGCGCGCGCGCGCGTGCGCACTCAATGCGCGCGTTGGCAAGGGCGTGTGCCTCCGGCAGCAGATGCGCGCGCGCGCTTGCGGACTTACCACTGTTTATCCTCGCGACGCAAAATCCCGTAATTGGATTTGTAACAGGATGCACAAAAAGGCAGAACTATGCTGGTGTGAGAAGGCTTTGTGCCCTTCAAGCACGTACACAATAACACTCAAGATCCAAACACAGTCATTGCTATAAATATGTAAATACGTGCACACTGACAGCAACAATCTGTTGGTAAATCTGCGTGTATTACACACGAAGTAATTTTTTTCCTCACAAATAGCTAAATTGTAATATTTAAAGAAGTGTAATTGGTCCCTGATGTGTCGCAGAATGCTAGAGGATGATGAAATCAATCGTACTAACAATAATTATTACCTTGTTATCTTTCTGTCATCGGTAAATCGTGCATTGGGCATTCACACGCAGTCCCCGAGAGGAGAAGGGAAATACGACAGTAAATATAGCCGACACCTGCAGGACATCACTGTGCAGTAATTGAGATCTTCACGGATGTGAGAAAATAAATCGGAGCACATCCGTTTTATTTTTTTGCCCGGAAGAGAACAGTGTATAATAAAACATCTGCCTCACCCCCCCGCCGCCCCACAAAATAAACGATGTCACTGCGTAATCCCGGCTGTGCAACGACGACACGCAAACACTTCGCACTCGCAACGCAACGTGTCTCGTGGTGCGATGGCTCGATCACAGCCGTGCTGCGCCCCCGTGCGTGTGCGGCGCCAATTCGGCCGCACCTCCGCAATGATCGGTGCCCACGAATCTGGGGGCGGCGAGGGATGGAGCGACGGATGGATGCCGCTTTCCCTGCCGTCAGGTGCTGATCAGACAGAGCGCGTGCGTCCTCGGGAGGGGGGGGGGGGCGCAGTGCACGCGCCGCGTCGTCCGCGTGTTTTGTGCCCCAGACGTGTTCCCGTGCTGGACGTACTACAAAAAAAGAAACGAAACTAAAACGAGATGACATGCAAAATTGAAGGAGTTGAAAACAAATGTGAAAAGTGCCAGTGGCTCCGCAAGCCTTCGCCGAGTTCAAGCAGCAGCAAGAAGCCGGGCCCCTCTTCTTCTGCGGCGGCACGTCCGCAAGAGTGAGAAATGAGACGAGAGAAGCTCGTTACGATTTTGTCCCCGGCGCGCGGGAAAACTTTGCTTGCACGACGATGCCCTCCCTGCGAGAGCGGCAGCCAGAGCTGGCCCGTGGCCAGCCTCGGTTAAAATGCCCTCTGGAGGCGCCGTGGTGTTGAGCCTGCTTGTCGTGGCGAGGTTATCTCTGGGTTATGGAGCCAGCCAAGGCCTGGATCGCAAAGACTGTGACCTCAATTGTGTCGTCTCTCACCAACGCCGCATACGAACGGGAGGAAAAAAAAATAGGAAATAAAAAGTATAACGAAAATATTGCTCATTTGACTTCCAGCACAGTCCGGAGGTCCACTGTAGGCACAAGCCAATTATCTTTGTATTAATGTTAGTCAGTAAAAAAAAAGTGTATGGATAACAAGTTTTGTTATTTTATTTTTATTTTCCATTTTTTATTTTATTTTGGATTTTTAAAATTTAGTCGTGGCGGTTGGGTATTTTGCAGTAGTCTGTGCGCTTGTTTTTTTGATAGATGTTAAATGTCCGTATTCATAAGCTTTAAGAACAAAACAATGTAAACTGTTTTTTGATAAAATCTGACATGTAAATGTTAATGTCAAAAAAAATTACAGTAAGTTACGCGGCTGAATGTTCCTGTGATATTAACTCTTTCCTTGATCGGAGTATTCCATTGATTAATGCCTGTAGCTTTAACTTCATCACTGCTTAGTTGAACTGACGAAAGTTTCCATGTTGTCCAAAAATAAAGAAAAAAAACTAAACAACCAGATCCCTTGTGCATACTGTACCATACGTCACGGTAAGGATATGCCAATATTAATCTACCTATCTCGCTCCACATAATACCTCTTTCAAGGCCTCATGAACTGTTGAGCGAAATGTAAGCCTGGGTTACGTTTCTATACAAACTTTAGGTCTGCTCAGTGGGAGTTTTATGGAGTTGTTTCTGTTAGGGTTAACTCACAGTTTATTCATTAAGTTTGCATCTTTGACTAATTGTAAAAAAAACAACTGCGTTTTAATGTTTTAATATAACCCTCTTACATTGCCTGGAGGACTGTCATGGATCTTAAGTTTATACTTTTTTTTTACTGAAAAGTTTTACATAAAACTTTACTGTGTCATGCAAAGGAGTACTGTTGTACCATTTATTACGTGTTAACATTTTTAGGCGTATAATCTATGACGTGTTCTTTTGTTCGTGGGGGAAATACAGGATTGACCAAATGCTTGTCTGAAGCCAACAGCTGGCCGCAACATCTCACATCTTCACTGATGACGGCCGGTTACTCGACACTAAAACTCGTCAACGTGTGCCCTGTACATGCAGAGGTGGTGGTGGGGGGGGGCCTTCTGCGATTGGTCGAATTTTCTTTTTAGTGTCGTATTAATTGGTAGCCCTCGCAGCGCACACAGTGACACTGCGGCTGCAATTTATATCGGGGGAAAACAAAAGCCTGCTGAATTTTACAACTTTGGTAAAGACTACTGTAGTAATTTGTCACATGAAGGTTAGTGTGTGGGTAAAAAAAAAAACCATTCTGTCATTGTTCATTCCAATAAAGATGTTTTATTGATGCTTGTCGTGTCAAAGTTGCATTGTGTGCAGCGCAAATCCTGCACCGCCAGCCCAGCCCTGGTCGGCTCGATTTCTCTCCCGACTCGCGAAGAGCCCTAGGACGCAGCTCCACGGCATTGCCTCCTCCTCCTCACTCCGCCCCCCCCCCCCCACGCTACTACCCCTGATCTTATATATTTTCTATACTGGTAGGAACCTCCTGGTTACACCAGCCCACAGGGGATTATTCTGTCCGTCCGTCGTGCATCCAAAAATGGGAGGGATGGGGCTGGGTGGGGAGGGAGGGGTGGGGCTGGGTGGGGAGGGGCTGGTTACCCCGTTGTGCTCTTAAACGTTTAACCTACTCACGCCGGCTTGTGCCCGCCCTCACAGTCGGCCGTATTTGCGGAATACACCACGCCGCCGTTGACCCTGGCCATTGACCGAGCAACCCAACGTTCCTACCAGCTCCCTCCGCAGGAATGTGTAAGCCGGGAGAGAGCCTGGCTGGTATTTGGACGCGTGACCACGGCGCACAAACCAAGGTTGCCATCGGCTGCTGTGGGGACCACAAAGTGGGTTCAGCAGAGAGTGCAGTGCACAAAATTAGATGATTGTACAGGGTGGTCCGGATGTCTTGGGACACCCCCTTCATTTAATTCACGAAAACGTAATTTTTAAAAGTATGGTTTATTTAAAACATTAATATACCACAGGGTTAGGTCAGGGGTTTAGCGATCAAAATGACAAAGACAAGCCATTTTTTGTATTCGGTCAAAAAACCCCCCTCAATATTTCAAGGGCCGCAATGCCAAGTGGTGAATCCGAGCCGGTGGCCCTGAACAAAGAACGTCGCGAAGCGGTTCCTTAAACAGCCGCAGGCGGCTCCGGAGCCCGCAGTTTGCCGACCCCTGGTGGGTCAGGTGACTCCGTTCCCGTGACAGTGTCTCGTTTCTATTTTCCCGTCGTGTGTTTTTTCTTTCTTTCAAGGGATGCGGAGGTGGGGTGCGGTGGGTTCGCGTTCCGTGAGAGCACACAGTAACCACCGCTTCAATTCCCAGGTTTGGCGAGCAGTGGCAAAGCGATCCGAGGACTGGTTGGCATTTACTTTATTTCTTAGTTTAACAGGCAGGCTTTCGCGACCAATATTCATAATCAACGTTTTTGGGTTTAGATCGCGTTATTTATAAATGTGTCGTAACCCTCCACCACCCGACACGGCCAATCAGTAAAAAAGTGTTACGTTCACAAAAGACAAATAGTTCACTGCTTTAGCCCACCGGTGTGTTGAAGCGTGAAACCACAACATTAACATTTTTTTGAGTACGACGTTTCGCTGGTAATTGCATCCAGCATCATCGGGCAATTCGCCAGAATGGTGAGGCTCTGCTCTGTCTCCCGTTCAACAAAAAACACGGCCCTGAAGTTCACTTCACGCGAGAGACGCCATTTACGCATTTGTCGTCCACTCTTGGCCCATGACGTCCCGAACTGTTTACAAGGGTGGCGCGGCTCCTTGCCTTTCCTGCTGCAAGTGAGTGGCATGGCCTGCCCCCCCCCAATTGCACGGGTTCGCGGACCGGGCTGTCTCTCGCTTGCCCGGTGGTCGTGGGAACGTGGCACGGGGTGATTGATTCCTCACCCTCGGAAGGCCCAAGACATTCCCAATGTCAAATGCACCGTACCTTGGTGCGCACCTCAAATCAATGCACGCTCTTGGAAAGCGACTGTAGTTAATCAAGGATTTCTATTTTCATTCAGATATTGTTTCGTAATTGCCAAGCCCGTTATTTTGGGGGATGGGACATAGATTTTTTGTTAGTTAAATAACAATACAAACCACTTGGGGGAGCTGTCAGTCACGTGGCGGTGGTTTAAACTAAACCTCAACTATATTTTGTTATTTTACCAGATGAGGCTCACAGCTATGTAGCTGTTTTTCAGAAGCGATCTGGCCACAAATGCAAACTCAATGAAGCGGCGTATCACGTGAAAGTATTGCAGCCAAATACTCTAAACGCGTGTTTCTAAATATGGAGTAAAAAACCCGGAGAACACAGCGAAAAACCCACGCGACCACAGGGAGAACATGCAAACTCCAAATATACAGCAGGCATCAGTGTCGGGATCGAACCCAGAACCTCCTGTATACCTGGCGAGGTAGTTAACATTTCGCCACCGTGGCTCACGTCACGGTGTCATTCCATGACAAGAAACGACTTGCCCCCTGTTCCATAATATAATTCCATGAATCCATAATGCAGATAAACATCGGTACCCTGGGCTTTATTGATGTAAGTTTTTAACAGTTATCTTTCTTCCATCTCTAAAATCTAACAATTGTCAATTGTAAAATATCAAATATTCCATCACAGGATCGTTCATGAGAGATGGTGGCATCATTGGTAGGCCTTCGTATAGCAGTGTATTGATGACGCAGTGGCAATGGCGAGTGTTGAGACGTCTTTATTGGTAAGATAATTATACACCACTACCATTCCAATATCACGATGTTTTTCTTTATTTCTTGAGAGTGATTACGTTTCATTTCTAAAACGGGGAAAATCACCGACGTGGTTTGAACTCGACGACTGGATGCCTTTATTCAGCCGTGGATTGACAGGGATGCAAATTACTGGTATGCATCACAATAGCACGCAAGGCTATCAGATGACACCCACCGCGCCTCCGATAGGCAGGTCGTGGGTTTGTTCACAAATCGGCGTGGGTCTTTGTAAATATCAGGTTTCCTTCTGCGGGGTTTTAGCTCGGCTAGCCAAACCGAGCTTTGTCGCTCGTTCTATTGAGTCACCATTCTATAAAATATCACAGAAATTAAAAAAAGCCCAGCCTATATAGACAAAGTTTACTGACTCTCTCTTTCCAGTTGTATAAAACGAAATAAATCACACCCAAGCTTGCTGTAGTGGCAGGCATGCCACACCTGCGTATGAATGTGTGTTAGCATTACTGCGAGGACATTAGTACACGGGGATATAACGAATACGCGCTGAACGTTGCCGTATTCTCCGATCACAAGACGCGTTTTTTTGTTTTGCTTCTCTGCAATATTTTGAAAGGAAGCGCCAAGAGGCGCGTCTTGTGCTACGCTAGGTGTATTGGACCACGTTTGTGTAACTTTATTAACACAGGGCACACGTTTGTGTAACTTTATTAACACCGGGCGCATGTTTGTCGGGGCTTCTTTAACTTCCCCGTGATTTGGTGACGCTGCTGCTGCTACTGCTGCGTTGGCAGCGGCGCAGAAGCACACAAATAACAACAACAACACTCAACACAACTCGTCAATAACACTAAATATAGGGCGTGAATAAATATGATCGGCGACGTTTCTGGCATTGGCCCTTTTTCATAGCACACAGAGAGGCCAATACGTGGCACTCAGGAGAGAGAACACGGGCAGAAGAAAACTAGGATTCGAGTTACGGATGATGGCAAATAAAAATCCCCGACTAAGAAGTGATGCATGACAAACAAAATACCACATAATACCATCTACCAACAGATGGCGCGAGTCGTATATTAATCTGTAGCAAATACGATGCGCTGTTTATCAACCTCTATATATACATGTTATAAATAGCAGCGAAAAAATGCAAAGTTTTTCATCCGCGGTCACATTGTGTTAGGGCGGAAGAACAAAAGGTGCTTTGTGACACAAACGGAATCTAGTTATGAAAAGAAAAAGTAGCCGTCCCATCATCGAGATGATCAAACGAAAATAGGCTTTTACCTTTTCCGGCAAATCATACAGGAAGTGTTAAGACGTTCAAAGGCAAGATTCTTTGCAATAGGCGTCGAGTTTGTGTTTGAACATTTCAACACCTGGGGTATTATTCGCGGTAAGGCTAAATCCGATTCTTTTTTTTATTAGTTGACCGTAGCTTTGTGGTGGATCGTGCCGAGCCCCCTAAAGAGTTGTCACCAGCAATGGACCGCGGTTGGGGGGGGGGCATTGCCCCAGCGCTCGAGAGGGAGCGTCATCTTATAATCCGGAGAATAGGGACCGTCCATAAATGACGTCACGCACCTGGGGGGGGGGGGGGGGGTGAGAAATATGTCGTAACATCAAAATGCGCAACTTTAAATAAATATAGACAGCACGTTCTACTTAATAAAATAGACTTTTTAAAATAAATGTTTTCTCCTACAACATCAGAGTGCAGCGCCACATTAAATACGCACTACAATGACAATAGTTTAAAGGGATTTGATGCATGTTTTTTTTGTGGGGGGGGGGGGGGGGAAGAGCTTTGTGACGTCATATTTGAGGGGGGGGGGTCTGACTTCTGTGACGTCGTGTGACGAAGGGGGGGGGGGAATCAGAAATCGTCCATAATCGCGTGACGTCATTTATGGACGGCCCCATAGGGAAAAGCCTCTGCGTGGAGTCGAAACACCGTGCACGATATTTTGACACAAAGCCCGATTGAACGTCCGTGGGTGTTGTGACGAACGATACGGAGAAGTATTTAATGGGACGTGTGATGAGCAGCGATGCTGTTGCGTCTGCCGCTTCAGAGAAACACGTTCACCTGCACACTGGCACAGCCGTTGTGCAATTTCAACAAACTCCCTCGTGGGATTGTGTTACTGGCGCCTTTCTCGAGGGCAATGCGGCAGTGAACCCTGGCGCACCTGAGTTGGATTCCCGCGCACGGCTCACATCAGCGACGAGTGATACGTCTCAATCGCTCGTTGGGGTCACAACGCCCCGGCATGGTGAAGTATGTACTCTGAGTTCTTTCGGTAAAGTCACGTAGGTAAAAAATGAAATTAAAATTAATAAAAATAAAAACAATACATTTTTTAAATTCATTTTAATTTCATTAATAAAAATAAAAAATTATTGTTTTTTTTAAATTAATTTTTATTTTATTTTTTACCTACGTGACTTTACCGAAAGAACTAAGAGTATGAATCCTTGCAGTCACGAAAGCTTCAAATCTAGAATGCTGAAGTATGGCCAAACAAACCCCATAACCGATACGGCTCAGGA